CTGCCAGCAATCCATGGGCAGCTTCTGTCCTCACCCGGCTTTCACGCCAGCTTCCACCCGAGACGGACTCGGTCCTTGCTGCCCAGTGCATTCTGGGAGTGTTCTTGGGACCACGGGCTCCCGTGGCCTGCGCAGCCCCCGAGTGTCACGCGCTGCCCGCAGAGGGGCAGTCTGTCTGTTAACCAGGCACGTCCCCCCTTGCAGCTGGACGCCGAGGCCAGCGACATCCTGAAGGAGCTGCAGGTGAAACTCAACAATGTCCTGGATGAGCTCAGCAGAGTTTTTGCCACCAGGTACGCCGGGCAGAGGGGCCCAGGGGTTGCCGGGGAGAGGGCCTGGCGGGAGGGGTATAAATCTTCGGGTACAAAGCACAGGCTCGGGTTCTGCTCCTGTTCGGAAGGAGGCTCCGTGTGTGGTGATTCTGGGGCTGAGTCCCGAGGGTCACGGTTGGGTTTAGGGCTGCAGGAGTGGCGGGGAGCCTGCAGGGCTGGGGGTCCCTGGAGCCTGTGGCTGTGGAGAGGGCCGGGGAATGGGGTGGGAGGGAGGCGCTGGAGCAGGGCGTTCCTGGCGAGGGGCTCCCCGCCCTGCTCACGGAGCTGCCTGCGCCCTGTGGCGCCCAGTTTCCAGCCGCACATTGAGGACTGCGTGAAGCAGATGGGCGACATCCTGAGCCAGGTGAAGGGCACCGGGAACGTCCCCGCCAGCGCCTGCAGCAGCGTCGCTCAGGACGCCGACAACGTCCTGCAGCCCATCATGGACCTTCTGGACAGCAAGTGAGTGCAGGAGGCTTGGGGGGCACGGGGGGGGGGGCGCAGCAGGGGGGCTGGGGCTGGGAAGGGTACGCGGGGTGGGGAGGGTACAGCATGGCTGGGGGGCACTGCGGGGTGGGAGAATGAGGAGGGCTCAGTGGGGGGCAGGGCACTGCAGGGGAAGGTCCTGTGCCCTGTGATCAGCAGGGTGACTAGGCCGCTATGCCCAGAGGCCTGCGCAGGACCAGCTGTGGCGCTCAGTGGGCAGTGTCTCCAGTGCTCCGTGGCTACCCCTGGCCAGGGGTGCTCTGCTGGGCCCAGGGGTGGCTCTCATGAGCGACTGGGTCCCTCCCTGCACCCCAAGCCCTGTGCCCACCTAGTGCCTGCTGTCCCCGGGGCACAGCCTCTCTCTGCCCCTGGGCATGTCCCCCCTGCTATTCCCCGTCACATCCCCGTGTGCCCCGAGGGGAGCCCCCCGCCCCCTGGGGCGCTCTGCAGACAGCCGCGGGCCGGGTGTTCCTTTCATCCCCATGACCTCAGACTGGCAAAAGGCCGAGCCCATGTCGGGTGCTGCTTTTGCTCCCTGGGTAGCACAGAGCCCTGCCCAGAAGCTGGGGACACTGGGGTTCAGGCGGCTGGCGTCCCTGCACAGGCTGGGACAGGGCTAGGGTGGGCCCTCGGCCGCCATGGGAGGGAAGGAGCCACCAGTGCAAAGCACAGGAGTCAG